GCAAATTGCCCCACACCTATGCACACACCAACCCACATCCCTTCACACAGACCCACCCACCTTCCCCCACACCCTTCCTGCAAATACCACATCTCCCCATCACACACCCATCATGTGCGAAGAAAACCAAAAGTACACATCAACACATATAGGTATTTAGAATTTATTTTATCATGATGATAGAGACACTGGTAGGCTTGCACTTTGCTTTAACATTGTAAATATACCAATAAAGAATTGCCCAACTGATCGCTCACTCTCTCTCTCTAGAGGGGGTGTGTGTGTGTGTGTGTGTGTGTGTGTGTGTGTGTGCGCGCGCGTGCGCGTAGAGTGGTCTTTTGTTTTAATTGTGGAAAAACATGGATTTGGGGGTATTTTTAAAAATGGATTTGGGATATTGCTGCTGTAGTCCAGCTGGCACAAGGGGTAGTGTCCCCAGGTACCCAGTAGCTGGGCCCCAGAAGCTCCTGTCAAATTTGTATCCTTCAAGTACCATGGGTTCTAAGGCCCACCTGGCTAACTAATAGCTCCTACTGTGTGGGGCCAATGGATGAAAGATGCAACAGAATTCTTGGGACAACAAAGGCAAAAAACAGGATAGGAGTGTTGTGTGGGTCAGAGTCAAAACGTGAAAATAAGTACACCTGAGGAGGACACTGAGCAGAGCCCCCCAGGCTGCACTCACTGGTTCCCAAAGGCATTCAAGGAGCTGGTGGACACTGCCCACTGGTGCTCTGCCTGGAGACAAGCACGGACAAGTGAGAGGAAAATGGCCCCACAATCTCCAGGCACCTTCCTGGCCAGAGCCTCCTTCCTAGTCAAATACAGCGCCCACTTGGCCAGGGCCAGGAGGAGATTGATCAGGAGGTCCTGGGACTTGGTGGGGCCACGGATGGGGTGACCAAAATCAAAAAGGTGGGGGGTGAAATTCAACCAGTACCTCAAGAGGAGGCTCTGGAGGTGGAGGTGGAGGGGCTGCAGCTTGGCACACTCAAGGGTCATGTGCACCAGGGTCTCCCTCTGCCCACAGAGGGGGCAGGAGACTGGGGTGTCCATGAAGCTTGCCACATACACGCCTGTGGTGATGGCTCCATGGAAGCCGCCCCCAGAAGCTCCTGAGAGTGAGTAGCCTTGAGCTGCTTGCCAGGGAAACTTTTTGTTTTGATGGGGCCAGGACAGGGCAGCTTTTTATACCACTGGGGACAGCACAGGTGCTGGCCCCGGGCTCTAGCTTCCCCTGGCTGCAGATCCGGGAGGAGCCAGGCAGGGTTGCCCCAAGCGGCACAATTTGCTCCACAACAAAGTGCATGCCCGAGCACGTGCGCCAAGGCAAAAAGCCCCAGTTCAAATACGCACCGCTTCTATTTGAGCTGCGGCAGGTGCACGTGCTTGCTTGTGTGGGTGCGCTCCATGAGTTTTGTGAACTCTCAAATCCAGATCAAGTTTTCAATCCATCACGTTTGGTTTTTTAATTATCTGGGCTATTTATCGAATCTTTTCAAATAGCAGGATAAAGTTCTTCTGTCAGCTTCCCTGGAACATACCTCATTAACTCCAGTGAAATAGGTGTAATTACTCTGCATTTACAATGGCACCGAGAGCAGAGCATGGTATTCAAATATAGATCTACACAGATACTAGATTTGGGCCCATTCTACTTGTTATAGTTCCTGTTAATAAACAACAAATACATGCACAAGAATCCTCCTGGGTTGTGACAGCTGGGCATAGTAGTCACTTTTCCCAAGAGGATAAAGAATTCAAGGAATTGCCCCTTTAATATTTTAACAATTTTTAGGCACAGTCACAAAGGAATGCAATGCTGATAAAGTATCTGTATAACATGCAAGTAGGGCAGATGTGTTTGGAAACAGCAGCCTTTCCTATAGGATGCTGAAAAGAATACCCCATGCAAAATTTTGTTGTTTTGGCTGATAGTCTCAGTGAGGTCTGGGAAAATAGGAACTGCAATGTGAAATTCTCAGGAAGCAGAAATTGGTCTAACATACTCAGATATCATTTTTTCTTTAAACATTTTTTTTTAATTTTCATGTTAAATTTTAATGGGGGGAGGTAGAAAAGAAACACATGATGAGCTTTCACTTTTGTAGCTGTTTTTTTAAAGTAGCTTCAGCCTTGGTTAACAAGGTTGACGTGTTGATACACATTTTCTCTGACATTTCTACAACCAAAAATGCATGCATGTGTGTGCACGTACATAGGAGGAAATATTCCAGTCATTTTCACCAGTCTACTGTAAGGATGGGAAGCGAGGGCAGTCTAGCTCAATTATTAGGCCATGGGGGTAATGCAAGAGCAAGGGGCAAAGCCCAAAACACCAGCTGAGACAAGGGTCAGAAATCTGAGACTACACTAGCGATCCAGGGGGGGAATCCAGAGGCAAGGTCCAAAACACAAGGCAAGTCAAGGTTCAGGAGCAAGATACCAAGGTACCAGATCCCAAGGGAAATCCAAAAACCAGAGTCCAGGCCAAACAGGGGGTCAGAAACCAGAAATGCAAGATTCAGAGCGGCTTACTAGAGCACACCTTCAAAGGAACTGTTGGCTAACCTGCTGCCATAGATGGAACTAACTAGGAAGGCTGCCCTCCCCAGCTGCCAATCAAGAGGCCCTATCCGTGGCATCTGGAATCATTAGCTGGGGTAGGGCTGCCAGTCCAAGCCCCAGACATTAGCCCAGGTTGGGCTGCCCATTAGGGCCCCTGACACCCAGACTACTTCTTGTGTAGCTGTTGAGCTGGTCAGTCTACGTGTCCTAAGTAACACAAAAAATCATGTAAAATATTTAAAAATGTATGATGTTTTCACAGTAAATGTCCCATTTAAAGTTAATTGGATTTCTAGGAAGGGAAACATGCTTTAAAATGATCTAGGTACCTTTGAAACTCCCACTCTAAATACACCGATTGATTTTCAGGATAGGAGCAATCTAAGCCCCCTATGTTTCACACAGCTCTAAAAATCATTTTAGGAATAAGCGAGTGTCACCTCCATTCAGCCAAACTTATTAACACACTGCTAGATGTCTCTATCTCTATTGGCACCCTTTCTGTACATGGTGTCACACAGTGATGTACGATCATGGCACTGGTGATCATATTGTGTGTGCAATGGCCCATCTGTCATGGTAAATTATGGCTATATGTGAGAAGGTGGGAGTCAGTGTGTGTAACAATGTCACATTCCTAGCTAAGGCCCTGATCTTATCCAAACAAAGAAATAAGCTGTTGCCTTCTTGGTCAAACAGCTGACCCATGCGAAGCATCACTCTCTGCTAGAGATGAGACTGTCCGCTATTCGCCACCATCCCTCTTCCAGAATTTAGAGACTTGAAATAGATTTATCTGAATGCCAATGCTGAACTACTACGCAGCTGTGAGGTGCACACCAACAAGATGGTTTTGCTTCAGTAAGGACACCCCGCAAGAGACTCATATGTGACCTTCATACTTAATGTGGTGTGAATAGCATACCGCTAAAGTGAGACTTAATAGCAAGCTCCCGCAGAGTGATGCAAACAAACATTTTCCCCTGTTCTCATCTTAACTTCTGTTTCCTCAGTAGTTATGAAGTCTGTGAAAGAGAGAGGAAGAAAACATGTCACATCACAAAGATGTAACAGCATGATAAGTGGGGCAGCATCCTAAACTGTTACTGGGAAATGCTAGATGAATGGGTGATTGCAATGACAGTTTAGCCTAACAAGTAGGGCAATAATATCCACTCTCCATGCCTGGAATAGTCTGTGTTTACACCAGGCCACAAAGCCACCTGTCCAGTATCTCAACCTTGCTTGTTACTGGAATCAGGCAGTAGAAGTGGTGGTGGCAACACACCCAGGGGATACTAATTAGCAAGGAATGGGAATGGGCTTGGAGTGACAGCCGTTCATCAGCATTCAGTGCGTTTGCTTCCATGCTAGCCATGATGCACAGTGCATTCTGACAGAATGGTAGCTGACTTTGGAAGAGTGCTTTTATTTTTACATTTTATACTCTGGACACTTTTTATTGCTCCCTCACGTCTGCTTAATTTGATTGTATAGTCAGGGTAACATTCATACTTGGTAGAAACTGCTACAGCTCCATGAAAGTCACTGGAGGTTATTAAGAGAACATTTTCTGGTACCACTCACAAAGCTGGTCAAATTTTAATGACATTTCAATGCTGGAAAGGAGAAGGGTAGGAACCCAGAAAACGTAAGCATTCTCCCTCCCCCCTCCCCCATTGTTTTGTTTGAATCTATTCTTTTTGATGTCAACATCTGGAATCTCAGTAGGCCCCATCTCATAAACGAGACATAAGAGGTATTTTGGTCATATCTGAACCAGAAATTGAAAAGAAGACTTTCTGATTTAATCTCTGGAGAGGAACTGAAAGATCAGAGGGGGATTCACACTCCAGCATTCGAATACAACCCCGCTTATGACCTTTACCACTGTGAAGTGATCATAGTGGTCCCCTCTAGCCATAAGATCTATAGACCTTGTTAAACATTACATTTAACATGTGTTATATTTAGATTATAGTAAGGATTAAAGTGACATTGAAAGTTTTCTGAGCAGTCACACATTAATGTTTAACCAGTTCCAATGCAATCATACTGGAGTCTTGACCTGGCTCTGGTGACATCCCAGAACTGAGACCAAAAATCAGTTGATTTTGGAGACAGAATTCGTTACAAGTAGCTGTTATCTGTTTGCAGCCCTGGGCTGTCACCAGAACCAGTTCAAGACTCCAGAGTGGTCCTAGGGCTGAGACTCAATTTTAAGTCTCAGTCCAGGGACCCACTAGGGCTGGTTGGAGACTCCTGTGTGGTCCTGGGGCCAGGACCCACAATCAAACAGGACCTTGGCAATCCTTCCCTTGACAGACTGGCTCTGACCCACTTCAAGGGAAGGATATTTGTTTTCAGCTTAACTTTCCCTTAACCCTGTGCTACTGTGCATTTCACTCTTTGACAGCTTCTCCAGAGTCATGGGGAAAGGGCCTTCTGTGCTTTCCCATTCTGGGGATGCATTTAAGTCACTGAGACTTAAATACCATTCATCACATTCTCTCTCAACATTAATTCTGTGCCAGCAAGTACCTCACCCACCCCAGAAGCAGCTCCAGTAAGGTATTTTGGTTTGGAGAGTGAATTCCTGTTTTAAACAGGACAGGCAGAAATAGGATGTCATGTCAACCCATTATTAGACCCAATCATTCACCACTTTTCATCCACTCAGCTTTGGTAGCTGGGGAAGGAAGACTTGGATCAAGCCTCCACTCTGACTCACTGCTTTTCTCTCCCTTCTTGCATCCACTTGTTTTCCAGGGGAAGAGTAGATTTTGGGCATGCTGCCCCTGTCCTCTACATGCAGCATGACTGTGCAGGAAGGAGTTCCTCCCATTTCCTCTCTTCATGACTGCAGTACTCAGCCACACCCTGGCCCTCAGAAAGGGGAAAGGGACAAAATAAGAGGAACACACAAAAGGGAAGAAAGAAATATATGGGCCAGATCCTGGTGCTTTTGCCCTGCTGTGGTCAAGGCTGGGAGGGTGTCCCAATGGAGCAGCCAGTGATTCTTCTTCTGGTGATTGCAGTCTACCCAGTCTAGGGTACGTCTAGGGTGCTGGGTATCCAGGTTGTTCCAGGGCACCTTGGCATGCACTGCACTCTAACTCCCCTCAGACAGTGATCACTGTTTCTACAAACATAACTGACAACAGCTTTTAGGTTGCTTTGAATTACACCAAGAGCTGAGCCAATCCTAGAATCTGGGTAGCGAGAAGTTTAGTACATTGAGTCCGGCACCTAGATTGGTTCATCTGGACCCCAAGATCTGGCCTGTAAAGTTGTTGGGGTGGTGTGGTGTTGAGGGGTGGGGGGGACAAGAAACATGAGAAGAATGCAATAACAGCCCATAACCAAAAGGGGAGATGATTTTAGGGATACAAACGGATTAATAAGGGGCAAGCCAATAAGAGCAAACCTAAGAGGAAACTGTAGACTGAATTAGAAAGGAAAACTGGCTAAAAATATAGAACTGGGTGTCCCAGGTTCTGTCTGGCATCAAAAAAGGCTGGGACAATCATTTACACATGCATCCTGAATGGCAATTAACTCCAATTAGCCTTGATTGTCCTGGGGCAAAGCGTTAAATCAGATACTTCGCAGGCACTTTAAATGGGACAATGACCTTGTATATTCGTAGGATTCTCAGGATAATAATCTTTATCCCATATCTCCCTTGCTGGGGAAACAGAAAATTCTGTCTGGGCACAAACGGAAGAGGCCATTCTGGGCAAGCAGAGAGCTAAAGGTGAGTTTTTTAGCCTCCATATATCCATGATGCTGTTTCTGGTAAATGGACAAAAGACAGCTGGAAACTTGTCATAGGGTAGTGTTTGTTGTCTGTAAAACCCTTTCCCATGCTCCCAGGAAAATAGAGTGCCCCAGGCATGATTTCTCATCCTGCCAACACCTTCCCCTCCAACTCAGAGTGAGGAAGTTTAAAGGAAGAAACCTGACCAAATCAGGTGGTGTTGCAGGAGGCTGCTGCAAGAGCCAGCCACTAATGTGTTTTGCTGGTGAGTCTGAGGAAGGAAAATGCCTGCTAAAAAAACTGCCCCATTCCAGCTCCCAGTCAGGACCTACTGCTCTTGGCAGAAACAGCCTTAACTGGTGGAACAGTGCCAGTCTCTGAGCAGAAAAAACCTTTATAGATGGATCCTCCTCAGGGTAGGTGAAAGAGACTGCCACTTAGCTTCAGTACTTAGGGTGGGAAGAGCAACAGCCTGCTGGCAAACTCTACAAAACCCCAAGCTCTCCAACCCACATGCTGTCAGGGCATGCAAACCTGATCAGAGCTGCCGGCTATGCTTTGGTGTGTGTGTGTGTCCATGTCACACAGCCAGTTTTCCAATTCTACCACCTCATTCCTATTCTGCCTACCCATGTTACACTCACAAAGAAGCATGCTGGCAGAAAATGCCAAAGGGCACTGCCTAGGCAGGTGCGTGTCCATGATCACAGGCAAAGTCAATGCCCCAAGCATCCGGCAGGCAGGTTGTCCATCTGTGAGCTAGGATCTAGGTTGGCTTGTAGTGCTCTGTTGCATTTACTAATTAACTGCTGCTGCTGGTCCTACAAAACCAGCAGAAAGCACTCAAGGCACTGGGGCAAATCTGTTACAGATGATCTCCATTAACCACAGAGAGCATTTACAAAAAGAGCAACTCCTTAACAACAAAGGAGAGATCCCTGCTTCATACATGGAAACTCATTCCATCACTGCTTATCTGAGGAGGTCTCATACATTTCTGTATTTATCCTCAGAATACTCCGTAAGGCACGTAAACATTAATATCTTCATTGTAGTCAGTGGAGCTATACAAGTCCCAAAATGCAGAGTTAAAAACTACAAAATATTTAAAGTATTTGACACAATTCATACCTACTTTAATCTCTCAAAGTTCTGATTTAAGATTCTGGAGAGTGCTTCAGTCATCAAATATAGGTGATATTTTAAATTCAAGACTCCCTTTCCCATCAGAGACTGTCTATACACGGAAAATGTCTAGTGCGAATATTGACACACATGTATTCCTAAATCGCTTTCCAGGAGGCAAGTCTATTCCAGAACAGAAATCACTTTTGTCCAGAATAGTTAGTGTATTTCCAAAGCAGGGTGCTCCCTTCAGGACCAAATCACTTTTACTGTGTAATTGAGTACCCACCTGGGGAGCAATCCTGCAATATCTGTTCTGGTTGATTTCCTCACATTGCCAAGCCCTTACATATAATCCTTGAATGTGACCCTCTTTTATGGCATGCCAAGCTCTTAGCCAACACTCTGCTCTTTCCTTCTTTATGATTCAGAAACTGCTGCCTCCCTGTGTTTTTTGTTTTTGTTTTTATTTCCCCTCACATCTACATTACTACAGCACACTGTTAATAAGATTTACGGATAAACATTATTCTCCATGCAGGTAATTTAATATGCACTTGCCAGTCCAGTTTTGAAAGCAAACAGCTTCTATCATCACTCTGCTTTTGGCTGAGCTACATTCATTGCCTGTGACGTGCAATGCGCAGGATAAACATTTGATTGCCAATCTCAAATTTTTCAGTGCTTGCCTCCCACTCCTTCTGTGTGATTTCAATGCTATCAATGTCTGTTGTGCATTTGACAGAATGCACAGGCAATGCTGGCCCCGAATTTGCAAGCACCGCTTCTGTCAGTTAGTATTACAGGACTCTTATAGTAATAATATTATTATTTAACGTAGGTGGAGAACAGGTAGGAAGAGGACATGGCACTTGACACACAGCAACGGCACCTGGGCAAGGAGTTGGCAATTCCCAATCATTCAGGTTAATTCTACAAATGGCACAGGTGAAAATAGAATCATAAAATCATAGAAAATTAGGGTTGGAAGGGACCTCAGGAGGTCATAGAGTCCAACCTTCTACTCAAAACAGGACCATCCCCAACTAGATCATCCCAACCAAAGTTTTGTCTAGTCAGGTCTTAACCTCCAAGGATAGAAAGTCCACAACCTCATTGGGTAACCTGTTCTCCTAGTGAGAAAATTCTTTCTATATCTAACTTAAACTTCCCTTACTGCTGCTCTTTGTTCTGTCATCTGCCACCACTGAGAACAGTTTAGCTTCATCCTCTTTCGAGCCCCCCTTCAGGTACTTGAAGCCTGCTATTAAATCCCCACTCAGTTTTCCCGTTTCTAGACTAAATAAGCCCAGGTCCCTCAGCCTCTCCTCAAAAGTAATGTGCCACAGCCCCCTCACCATTTTTGTCACCCTCCACTGGACTCTCTCCAATTTGTCCACATCCTTTCTGTACTGGGGGGCCAAAACTGAACACAGTACTTCAGATGTGGCTTCACCAGTTCTGAATAGCACAAATTGGAATCATCTGCAAACTTGTTGAGGGTGCACTCTATGCCATTTTCCAGGTCACTGATGCAGACATTGAACAAAATCGGCCCCAGGACTGACCCCTGGGGCACTCCGCTTGATACTGGCTGCCAACTCGGCATCGAGCCATTGATTACTACTCTCCTATCCTGATGCTCCAGCCAGTTTTCTATCCACCTTACAGTCTATTCATCCTGCCTGTACTTCCTTAGCTTGCCTGTGAGAATGTTGTGGGAGATGGTATCAAAAGCCTTGCTAAAATCAAGGTACACCACATCCACTGGTCTCCCCACATCCACAGAGCCAGTCATCTTATCATAGAAGGCAATCAGTTTGGTCAGGCATGATTTGGCTTTGGTGAATCCATGGTGACTGTTCCTGGACATGCAGGGACGAAGTCAGGATGGCCTGAGCACAATTGGAGTTGCTGCTTGCAGGGGATGGAGGAGGGTGGAAGGGTAGCGAGCAGCTGAATGCTGCAGATGGGAGTTGGCGGGGGGAGAGGGGAAAGGGGGTAGTGAGCAGCTGAACACCATGGAGCAGGAGGCAAGGAGGGAGGGGATCAGATGGCAAGCAGCTAGATGTCACAGACCAGGGAAGGGGGGGGGGGCAAGCAGTGGGAAGCTGGTGGTGCAGTGTTTGAATCATTGGCTGGAGCCATGCCCCACCGCCTCGTCTGTCTAGCTGCAACAGCAGGCAAGGGGCATGGCTCCAGCCAGGTGGGAGGTATGGCTCCAGCCCAAAATGCTGTGGTACACCTGGATGTGCCTGACAGCACACCAGTGTGCTGCAGCACACTGGTTGTGAAAAGCTGTCCTAAGCAAGTCAAAGTCTGCTTTTTTCTGAAGTCCAGGGTCCTTATTCTGCTGCTGTCCTTCCTTCCTTTCCTCAGGATCCTGAAGTCAGTCACCTTGTGGTCGCTGCTGCCCAAGTTGCCATCTACTAGTACATTCCCCACCAGTTCACCCCTGTTTGTGAGCAGCAGGTCAAGAAGAGCATGGCCCCTATTTGGTTGCTCCAGCACTTGCACCAGGAAGTTGTCCCAGCACTCTCCAAAAACTTTCTGGATTGCCTGTGCACTGCTGTATTGCCCTTCCAGCAGATGTCAAGGTGACTGAAGTCCCCCTTGAGAACCAGGGCCTGTGATAGGGAAACTTCTGCTAGCTGTTTGAAGACCTTGTCCACTATTTCCTCCTGGTCTAGTGGTCTCTAGCAGACCACCACCATGACATCATCATTGTTGCTTTCTTCTCTGACCCTAACCTAGAGACTTTTGACAGGCTTATCTCCAGCTTCATACCAGGGCTCTGAGCAATATGGCTCTTTTACATGAAGTGCAACTCCACGTCCTCTTCTCCCCTGCCTGTCCTTCCTGAACAGTTTATACCCATCCATGACAGTGCTCCAATTATGATGCCAAATAGTAGATGCCAAAGGGCATTGCTTCAACTTAGAGATGAAGCATCAGCTTGTTCTGCAAACTGGCGAAGGAAGCTTGTCTCTG